CATCTTTTTATATTAATGAGCCCATTGTCCTTCCATCCTTTCATCCCAAGCCTCATTCCTCACGGAGAGAAGCTTTACTACATATGCTCGATGTACGCCAAGCACTTTCCTTTTATATAGACAGAACTCAACAATGGCGCCAGACAGACAGACTCATAATATCAATTGCACAGCACTCCAAGGGCAACACATTCTCCAGCCAACATATTGCTCTCCATGGGCAATGCATTCTCCAGCCAACGTATTGCGAGGTTTATAGGTTTCTGTATTACTACTTGCCACTCTTTAAGGGACAGACCCCTTCCCTCACGACCGACTGCGCACTCTACAAGAGCAGTAGCGACCTCCATGGCCTTTGCCCAGAGGGTCCCACTGAGTGATATTTGCTGAGCAACCACCTGGATTTCCAGTACCTCCTTCAGGCAGCATTATGCAATAGTAAAACGTTTAGCTGTGGACTCGGAAGTTGCATCGACAGTATTGTGAGTGGCAGAAAAGCACTGACCCAGAGCGCACACTGACTACTGCTTTACAGTCACCTAGAATGGACTCCCACGGAGACCACTTGAAGAAGAAGAAGAAGAAAAAGAAGAAGTTACTTACCTTCGTGCAGTAACGATGGTTCTTCGAGATGTATCCCTGTGGTGCACCATGTCCCGCCCTGCTCCCCTCTATTTCTCGTTGCAGATACCGAGCGGTGAGAGGAACTGGCAGGAGCCAGACCGTACAACGCTAGAAGGGCGTGAACGGTGCAAGACGCTAACCGTGCATGCGCGGTCCAGCTGACTACGGCTGTAAAACCCTCTGACCAGCAGCGCTGGGATGAGCCCGACACCTAAAGTGGAGCACCCATGGGGACACATCTCGAAGAACCATCTTTACTGCATGAAGGTGAGTAATTTCTTCATCCAATGGCATGTGTACATAGCAAGGCTAAACTCAAAATAAGCTACACAACCTGAGCCAAGCTAATTGTGCAGCGTATGTCGAAATAGCCTTGTCGGGGGGCTCCCCTCCCGCTTGGGGTAGCCACCTCCGTCCGGGACATCATTCAGACCTAGCGGGCCTAGTCCCCTAGTGTAACACCCCTTTAGTAGGGGAAATACAGCCCACTGGCCTAATCTCCAGTATACTGCCCCTGTATTAGAGAGAATATGGCCTCCCAGCCTAGTCCTTGGTCTGCATGCTCAGCAGCCTAGTCCCAAAGTATACTGCCCCTGTATTTGGGGAAATACGGCCTCCCGGCCTAGTCCTTAGTCCTCAGGCTCAGAAGCCTAGTCCTTTAGCTAAGTGCCCACTTGCTGGGGTTCAAGGCAGGAGGGGCAGGGGGGCCCGGATCCTCCCTCTCCACCAGGCCCCAGCCCAGGGCCCTATCAGTGGTGGGTGGCTCCCACCACTGGCTCGGCGGGGATTCCTCCCTGCAACGCCCCGAGCCCTCAGGGATTGTTCCAGCTCCCTGCCCTGGGTCGCTTCCTACCCCCTTCCCCCGGCCCGTAGCGGTCCCACCTGTCGGCGTGAGTCGGGTGGCTGTCACGGCACTTCCCAAGTCAGCAGGGTTGGCGGTGGTTGGTTCAATGTCTGGGTCACGGGGAATTGGCTGGCGGCTCCACCGTTGGGGTTGAGCCCAGCTTCGGCCTGGCAGCGGCGTGTTCAGCGGGCCTGGCGGCTCCCTCTCTGGCAGTCCAGTCTGCGCCTCGGGTGGTGGGGCGCTAGCTCCAGCTCTGACCGTGACTAAGTGCCCACTTGCTGGGGTTCAAGGCAGGAGGGGCAGGGGGGCCCGGATCTGCCCTTTCTGAGCAGGCCTGCAGCTTTTTGTACTTTGGCTCCAGGGGAGCATGCCCAGTAGGGCTGCGTGGGTGGGGCCCTCTCTGCCCTCTGCGCCAGGTGGTTTCCCTAGGCTTGAGTGCAGGGCGGGGCCGCCCATCACAAGCCTATTTCGACTTTTGGCACTATCTACACAGCACTTATTTTGACATAGAGTACTCTTCCCCTGAATTCCCTTACTCCTTGTACAATGAGGGTTACAAGAGTCAGAGTAAGCAGTGCTCCAGCTCAACATTATTTTGACATTATGTCAAAATAACTGTTTGTGTGTAGATGCAGACTATGTTATTTCAGAATAACATCAGTTATTCCAAAACAACTCTGCTGTGTAGACATAGCCCAAGAGACTGAACATTTAACATTTTTAGAAGAGGATGACTGAATAGCCCATGTGGTGGGTAATAATGAGACATTATAGGACCCAATTCTGAACTCATGTTCACTGTTTTTACAAAAGTGTAATTGCATTTGATACTGTTCTTGATAATAAAATAGAGTTACTCCTGGTTTGCACAGCTGTAAGTGGCAACAGAACCTGTGTCAAAAGTTAACATTCAATCTGGGTGGACAAATGCACCAAATGCCATGTGGCATGGCCTCTACTTGCATTTGGAGTCCCGCTGAAATGAATAGGAATATATGTACGAGCCCATGGGTCTGCCTACAGGGAGCATGGTGCAGGATCAGGGCCTAAGCTAGTCTCTGACAAATGTTCAACAAGCTTGAGCGAAATTAATTGGTATCTCAATGAGTGGCCAAGTACCCACATAACAAAAATCTCTACCACACTTGGCAGAGAGGCATCATAAGTCGCCCGCTGGTTTCAAGGTGTCCCACTGATTTGCAGAAGTGCTGAACACTTCCATTTCCTACTGACTTCATCTGATGTTGTGGACACTCAGGACTTCTGAAAAAAATCTGGCCAAGATGCCTCAAACCCAAATACAGAGAAAGCAAGACATCCAAAAGTGGTCACTTCTGAAAATCGGAGCTTGAATGCCAACAAGAAAATGCTATGTATTTACTCCTAGTGAGGGCCACTCCTGATCAGAATTAAAACATATTGCAGGATAAACTCGGAGGAACTTGTAGTACTGTCAAGCTGTGATGCAGATAAATCAGAAATCTCAACTTCCAGTCTAGCATTATATACACCTTAAGAACAAAGCCAGTGCCAAGTTATGTAAAGCACAGAAAGGGGTTTTTGTTACTAATTATTATTAATGACTTCCACCTTCCTCAAGTAGTTTATTGAGTTTGAACTCCCAGTGGTATAATCAAGACTAAGGGGATAGAGATTTTAATTTTCTTTTACTGTAGTTCAACAGCAGATATGGATCCAGTGGCCTAATTTACAATGTTTTTACATCCAATCCATTGCATTATTGGGATTTCAAGGAAATTATGTGTTTAAATTCTTCAGTTATAGGATTGCAAAGTCTTTAATCTCTTATCTTGATTCACTCTTCCCTTTGTGATCATAATAGCAGAATTATAATGTAATTGTTTGCATACTATTCCAATATTTTTATTCTTAAATCTATCAGTTGTATTCTACTGGAAGATAAATAAGAATAATATATGAATATGCATGAGAGGAGATGTGCACGTATATGAATGACTTTTACATAAAATATGTATGGCATGAAATCATGCAGTATTTGGTGTCCAACAAGATTACATGTGAAAAAGTAAAGTAATTTTAAAAGTGCTATGTAATTCAATTATAAACTTGTAGCCTACCAGTGCTGTTTCTATATACTATATATATTGTTCATTTATTTACACTTCTGTATTGTCCCATGTATCTGCAACAGATGTAAAAGGATAATTTTTCCTGAGGCAAAGTCTGTGCAATACAGGCCATGTAACTTGACTATCTAGGTATATTAAAATAGTGCCTACAGTCTAAGACTATCCAAACAAAGAAGACACTTTCCCTGCCCAGAGGTTATATGGCTTGAATGAGTGTAAGTCAGCAGAACATTTGCTCTATATATTAATGGAAGTTACGTACCTGAATCTCCCATCCATTAGTGAGAAAACAGTCTTCAGTGTATCCATATCATACAGCATTAATTAGACAATGTGATGAGGAAAAGTCAAGGGTCAAATGCTGCCCTTTTTGTATATCCATTCATAATAAAATCAGTAGCATTATCTAAGTGGGGCTGCATTCTCCAAAAGGGCAGAATTTGGGGTCCTATATGTGAAAATGCTTTCCTTGTGGACAATTTATACTTTGACATATGTAATCTAACTAATAAGAAGTAAAACAGTGTTTTGGTGATCTACTATACCTGGTGTTGAAGGGACTCACTAATAAGAATTCTCTTCAACCAGAGGACAGTTTCTATTACTGCTTTTGCTCTTCACTCAAAGTTCCCTAGTTGATGAAATAACTCCTTTCGTTTGAGAAAAGATATAATAATACAAGATATGGCAGAGCTTGCAAGGAACATGACTGCCTTCCCTGCGGCTCCAATATCCTTAATGTAAAAATCCAAGACCAAAAAGGCACTAGTTCCTAGAAGCCTTCCACTAACAGCACCAGTAGGACATCTGACATCCTGCAGCCTTCTGACATCCCAGTGCACTTTATCTACGCTTGAAGTTTTGTAATCTAGAAACTCTGCTACAATTACCTCTCTCTTCCCACCTGCCTTCCTGCTCCTTCTCACTTTCTCCTTCCCTAACATTTCCTCAGCTTCATTCCGACCCCCACCCCCCGCTCTTCTTCCCCTTTTACCTACTTCACATCTACATCCCCAAAAGGGGAACAAATGGTCTATGGAACAAACAAGAGGTATGGAAGCCTTCAACCTGACTGCTTTACTTGGATGTTATATCACCTTTTCCCACAATCTGTCTTTCAGATTATAAATTCTTTGGGGCATGGTCTAAGTCTGACCATGTGTTTGTACAGCACTAAGTACAGTGATTCTGACTACAGTATCACCCAACTGCAATATTATTCCATACAGTAAGTAGTTGCTTTTTCTTCAGACTAACTGATAAGAGCCCGATTAAGATAGCGTAACATTCACAGTAGCAAATCCAACAAGGCATAGGATTCCACTATAGGATTCCAATTTTTTCATGTAGTCAGAAAGGCCATTTCAAATTAAAACAATACTTTATTTACAAAATTGATTATTATTTCCAGATACCAGGGAGAAGAAAAAAAAGAAGAAAAAACCCACAAAACATTGTAGATAAAACCTACAAAATTTAAAAGTGAGATTTCTACTTTCATGCTAGTATACACTTTACATCTACTTGTACAGCCAGCTTAAAGAAAAAACATTTTGCATGCTACCTGAAATTAGCATTTTTCTGAGAAACTGTTAAGTAGTATTAAACCTACACATCCATATATCAAACTTACAAAGTTTAAAGTTAGTTCTCTGACTTTTAATGCATTTAAATTATCTTTTTCATGGTATCCATTGGATAGGAAACAAAAATGTATCCTCAAAGCTGACATAAAAAGACACACAGGAACAAATGTATCCCTGTTCAACTCCATTGAGTTATACCCTGGATCAATTTGGTCATTGGCGTATAAAATATTATCTGACATGATCCATCACAGCAAAGACAATGTAAAATTTAATAACAGATTCAAATGAATTATGAGGGGATTGTTACAAATATTTCATCAATAAAATATACAACACAAATTTGTTATACATATGTCATTAGTAATAAGGAAACAATCATCTTAGATGCACAGCAATTTAAAATTCTCAAAACAAATTTATTTTAGAAACATCACCATAAGTAGCAAGAATATAGCTATTATAATAACAAGATTACCTTATTCATCAGCTTAATTCTGGCTAACTTTTCAAAATTACTCATTTGGTTTGTTGAGTGATATTAGTCCATAATTAGCACTAATTAGTTATTTGAAAATGGTCAGGTGGATAACTGAATATTCTTTGTGCGTAAGGGTCATTCTCAATTTCCATTTTCTGTTCCATATACGTGTGGTAGCTCTCCTGATGGAAGTGTTCACAGTGTAAATTAATCCAGTCCTTTTCAGTGCTGTATCTCTCTGCTTCAGCAAGGATCCTAGTTAGAGCCATAATGTAACTTAATGCCATCTGAAGGGTCTCATATTTGGAGAGTTTTTTATCTTGACCCCACTGTGGAACCACCTTTCTCAGTCGGTCGAAGGCTGTGTTCAGTCCTTGCATTCTTCTTCTTTCCCTGGCATTAGCAGCCAGTCTCCTTTTGGCAGCACTCTCCATCCTTTCTGAGCCATATTTCGCTACACAGCCTGTTCCACCTTTGCAGTGGGTGTCTAACTCACCAGAATCCACATTTGATTTAGAAGATTTCATATTTGATACCACTTTAATTCTGAACCTTCCTCTCTCTGCCACAAAAAATTATAGTAGCTGAAATGTATTGGGGAAAACTCCCTTGGAATACAGTATCTATACTTCTTAAGTGTGTTCCCGAAAGTCACTGAGAGAGGTTTTTGGTTTCTTACAGCATCCACAAAAAAGCCCCAAACACAACCACCCTGTTTTCTAGTAGTTTTAAAATTGTTGCTTATTGTTTTTAGAAAGGAAAAACAAACAGAACTGCAATTAGCAACTAGTCTGTTATTCTCATCCTTTACATTCCTTTAAACCTGGCAAAAGAGAAATAAATGCAATCTCCATTTTCAAACTATTACTTTCTGAAGAAAAAGGTCCATTTAATCCAAGAAAATTTTAATGGATTAAACACATTAGTCCTGTGGTCAGTTTATATCAAGCAGCAGGAAAAAACCTGGTCTTCGCAGGATAATGTATTTTGCAATCTAAACAAGCCTTTCTGTAAGTAAAAGAAAGATTGATCCTTCCTCAGTTACTGTGGGTAAGCAGTGATCATATCTTACAAGCAAGAGGAGGCTTTATAAAAGCAGCAGCAAGAGCAGAACAGGTGGCAGCAGGTGGGCGGGCAGCCCTCTGTTTCCATCCCAGTACCTTCCCACCCTGGGAACTGGGGAGGGGGCACTAAATAAAGAAACCCCAGCAAAATCCTGACATTATAGACTTCATCTGTTAAGAAGTGTTCCAAAGCCATGTCTGTCCAGCACTAACAACATGCCATCTGGACTAGTGTCTGGCTAGCCCCTCAAGAATCACAACTGTTAGGCAAAAGTCTTTTCAGTGAATAATCTCACATTTTTTTTTCCAAAAATCTCTCTCAACACATAACTAAAAATATTTATTAGAAACTATTAGGAGTGTCAGAGGGGACTGTTCAAAGATAATTTCATATTTTGTGGAAATGTATAATGCAATCTGAGTCTGTATAACGTTTCAAGTTGACTGTTTAATAGGAAAGCTTTAGGACTCACAATTTAAATATTATTGTATGCATTATGTGGAATATTTCTGTTGGAAGCACAATATTTCAATAGATACTGGAAAGCTGCAATATACTTAATTTTTAATAAAATAATTGTTTAAATACACTGAAACTTAGAAACATATTTTCATTATAATTAAGATGTAAATGTAGACTTATCTAATGGAAAATGAATTCAAAATATTTGAGAAGAGAGTAATACATACACATGCACCGTCTGGTTATGTATATAGTGTGTGCACAGTATATATAAGTATAAAAAATATATAGAAAGAATGCTACTCTTTAGGAAGAACTCCAAATAGGTAAAATGAGTAAGAAGAAGGCTAAACAATTAAAATTAAAAGAAACAAAGATAGTCTGCTCACCATTTCCAAAAGATAATTTCTGTTGATGATTAAAATGTCACAAAGACAGACTAAGCTTAATTTTGGTACTTAATATAATTTCAGTATGTTTTCATTGCTCTCTTTAAACTGAGATTCACAAATTTAAAAGGAACTTTAAATATTTTATTTTGTCTTCATGAAATATGCAGAAGGTCAAAAATGTGTCACACTATGATTTAGTATGTGTATTTGAATTCAAGCTTAATTAAATTGTTACCAAGTACTTGTAAAATAGTAATTTTTCATTTGGGATTGAATACTATTTTTTTATCTAAAACTCTACACTAATTGGTTCCATTATGACTCCAAAAGCCTGCATAGTTGTAAACAGTTGATTAATCCCTAGCAGAAGCAATGACAATGAAATGAGGTTGAATAATCTGAAAACAATAGGATGCAATAGAACATTAATGGACTCCAGCATGACAGATGTTGAACACAGGCTGTTATGCACAGTTGCTCTGCTCTTAATAGTCTGCATCCTAAATGGTCTTGATCATGGTTGGTGATTGATGGGTAGTCTATATAATTCCATTATTAAAATATGTGCTGTCTTTTCAATTTTAAAATAAATGTTTTATTGACATTTCATAAGAATGTCTCACACTCTTTGTTATGTGCATTGACCTATTCTCTCCACAGTCGAAAGAGCTCTGCCCACTACACATTAAAATATTAATCTCCAAACAATGATTTGTGAGCCATTGTTTTTGATGCTTTTGTTTAAAAGGAAGAATTGGAACAGTAACTTCCAGGAGATCGTGTGCCTATCAACACATTTGTGCAATCATGCTAATAGGACCTTCTTTACTTCTCTTTCTCTCTTTCTCTTATCAGGTCATATTTTACTGTTCCCCAATCACCCACTGTCTTATTTCCTAAAGTGGTATTGTGGGCATGCCACCTGGAAACCATAATGAACAGCTTCTCCAGTGGCCCATTCTTTCATTAGCCTTTTGTGAATTATTGACAGTTTGAAAGTTGCTTATTCAGATTATTTGTTGAATACATGAACTGTGAATTCACAGGCTGATATCAGAATTTGGTTCACAAGTGGCTAGTTTATTTTCTACTCTCATATGATCGTTTTAAGGTATCTTTGCACTTCTCCTGCAGAACAAAGGAATGCGGGCAGAGGTCACTGTAAAACCAGTAAATTGTTCAGAATAGTTACCATTGTGTAGCTTGTATATTCAAAGAACATCTCCCACTGAATTCAGTTGAAGTCATGACTGCTCAGCAATTTAGCAAATCTGGCTCCATGTGTATCACACTGGACCATCATGAGGAACATGCAATTAGTGGCCACCTTTAAAAAGTTTGATTTAAGAGACTTGCCTGGCATCACATAGGAGCCTGATGGATACCTACATAAAATCCAATTCTACACAACAGCATTCAACTCCCTTAACCATAAAACCATTCTTTCTCTTCCTTCAACCATCTGCCTCACTTAACCTTCCAGCCAGAGCTGTCCTGTCATTGGATGGTTGGGGGCGGTTTCCCTGGGCCCAATGTTTTGGGGAGCTCCATGCTTCACGGGGATGCAGGCCCTGTGCGGTACAGGGGCTGGCAGCAGTGTATCTGCCCCCCTCATTCCACCCACCTCCTGCTTCAGGAGATGTAGGGCCTTGGTGGCTGGGAGACAATGACAGAACCACTGGCCCCACTCAACTCTGCCTCACCAGTGCCCAGCATCACTTGGGAGAGGAGGAATCAGGGGCTTTGGGAAAGGGATGGAATGGAGGTGAGGTGGGGGCAGAGCAGGGGCAGGATGGGGTGGAGTGGGGGCATAGCAGGGGCAGGAAGGAGCAGGGACAGGGGCAGAGAGGGAGTTGTTTGGAGGGGGTTTCCAGGTAAAAGTCCAGTCAAAAAGGGAATCTGACAGTGTCCAGGCTCCACTGCTGACTGGACCCTAAAAGTCTGGTTATCTGCAGTACCCAGTCTCTGCTATGGGTAACGTTGCCAGATGGTTTCAACAAAAATATCGGACACATTTGACATTACATCACAATCTACATTACATCTTATTTAGAAAATACCAGACATTTATATTTTCTCATTTATATTTTCTCAATTTGTTTCCCGAACAAAAAGCTCAAATACTGAACTGTCCAGTTCAAAACCGGACACCTGGCAACCCTAGCTACGGGTGTGGAAAGAGCTGTGTCTGCTGCTGGAACCTGAAGGAGCAGTGGAGCCCTCAGGAATGGCTCCAGAGAAGGCTGCTCCCCTGTCCTGCCCTGAGCACAGCTCTCCCTGCCCCACTTGCACTCCCACCCACAGAAGATGGCTGTCTGTGTCCCACCCTACCCGGCTCACCACTTCCCTCCCCTGCCTCCAATCCCTACCTGCTCTCCCACCCCCACTCTCCAGCTCCCGCAAACTCTCTCTCTTTTTTTTTAAACTCTGTATTCCAGTCTCCTGCAAGGGGGCCACTGAAAGCACTGGGGAGACAGGTTCCCGGTTTTCAGTTACTGAGCCCAGCACCACAGCTTCTGGGAGGAACAACTGCATAGAAAGGCCTGAATATCCCTGGCAACCCCAGGCTGCTAACATGCTCAGGGCAGATGAGATCTTAGAAGCAGTGGTAACAGTTCTGTTTATAATACAGGCAGTCCCCGGGTTACGTACAAGATAGGGACTATAGGTTTGTTCTTAAGTTGAATTTGTATGTAAGTCGGAACTGGCTCCAGATTCAGCTGCTGCCACTGAAACTGACCAGGGGCTGACTACAGGAAGCCCGAGGCAGAGTTGCTCTGCCCCCAGCTTCCTGGAATCAGCCTGATCAGTTTCAACAGCTGCTGAATCTGGAGCCTGGGA